GCTCACAGACACAGTGATAAAATAAATGCTAGCTTTTACCAGCATACTTTTTTTTTGTTGCTTTTTTTTGTACTTTATACAAATGAGTGCACACAGTATGTAAAAAATAGCTTTTTAGCAGATTCTCAGTGAGATCCCTTGATACATTGAGAACCACTGAGACACATGGAAAGAGAGCCAGTGATTGACATGTTTGCCAGTAGTTATCCATCACAGTCTTGGTCTGGGAATAAGTGACTGATTTTAGAAGAGAAATAATGGTTACCTGGACAGAAATATGTTAGGATGGGACAAGTAATTCACTCAGCCACCACTCACAGCACTGTGCTCTGAGTCTTGAGTCTCTGGTCCCCATGCTACTCTCTGTCTGTAATTTGATTTCCCGAGAGACCAGGCCCAGAAAAATAAAACAAAAGAAAAAAACCCCACTAAGTCACAATTACAGATATTTATCCTTTTATGAACCAATACCCCAGTATTTGGGTTTTTACTTGGCTTTTCACAAGTTTGGTTATTGGAAGTCAGAACCCTGGAGTATGGTCAACCCCAGATGATGCAATGATAAAATGGAATTTCTAGATCTAGTTGCTAACAATTATGAAGCTACACTTATGATGATTTAGAGTCTATATTAAGCATTTTATATATGTTACATAACTTATAAACAAACACATCAACCTGATAGGATGCTAGTTAAGCTATTTTAAGCTATTTTATAAATGAGGAAACAGTTTAAACAACTTGCCTAAGACTGCATTCTGCCCATATTATACAGCTAGTCAGAGGCTGACTGAGAGTCACATACAGATTCATTCATTAATTTCCACTCTGAGTTTTTAGTCACTAAACTTTGTTATCTTCCACAGAGCTTGAGATCAAAGTCTACTGTGACAGTGAAGATGTGTTTGAGTAGTCAGCTGGATTCCTTATCTCTGCCATTCATCTATCCCTCCACCCAGCCACCCATCCATTCCTGTAGTCATCTTCTTTTTAAAAAAATATATATTTTATTGATTTTTTTACAGAGAGGAAGGGAGAGAGATAGTTAAGAACATCGATGAGAGTCATCAATCAGCTGCCTCTTGCACGTCCCCTACTGGGGATGTGCCCGCAACCAAGGTACATGCCCTCGACCAGAATCGAACCTGGGACCCTTCAGTCTGCAGGCTGATGCTCTACCCACTGAGCCAAACTGTTTTTTGCTGCAGTCATCTTCTAATCAACCAACTATCCATCTGCTATAGTCTGAATATTTGTGTCCCTCCAAAATTTATTTGTTGAAATCCTAACCCCTAAGGTGATAATATTAGGAGGTGGGGCATATGGGAGGTGATTAGGTCATAAAGACAGGGCCTTCTTGAATGAGATTAATATCTTTTAAAAAATACATATATTTTTTATTGATTTCAGAGAGGAAGGGAGAAAGAAACATAAAGGTTGAGAGAGGAATTATCAATTGACTGCCTTCTGTATGCTCCTTCTGGGGATCAAGCCCACAACCTGGGCATGTGCCTTGACTGGGAATCAAACCATAGCCTCCTGGTTCATAGGTTGATACTCAAACCCTGAGCCACACCAGCTGGGCAGGATTCAAACTCTTTTTAAAAAATATCTTTTTATTGATTTCAGAGAAGGGAGAGAGAGAGAGATAGAAACATCAGTAATGAGAGAGAAGGATTCAGACTTTTAATGTCTGCACCTTCACCACTTCCTCCCTAGTGAAAGGATTTCATAGGGTGTGACCTTATTGTGAGCAATCAGACATTTTATTTCAAATGAAGTCTCCCTGGGAAGTCCACTGTGTGGGTGATGAAGTAGGACTTCCTAAGGTCAGAGCAGAGTGTAAGAGTTTCCATGAACCCCCCACCCCCACTCCCACTCTCATCCTCCCTCAGGAGCCTCCAAGAAAGCTCCCTTGCCCATTTTTGCCATGTGAGTATACAAAGAGAAGTCTGCAGCCTGAAAAAAGACATTCATTTCACCATGCTGGTGTCCTGATCCTGCACTTCCAGCCTGCTGAATTGTAAGAAATAAATTTCTGTTGTTAATAAGCCATCAGATCTGTGGTATTTGGTTCTAGCATTCTGAAGAAACTAAGACACCATCCAACCACCCATCCAATCTTCCAGCCAGCCAGCCAGCCACAAATACCATGGAGCTATCCATTCCACTAATACCATTGGGCCTTGCTGATTTAATGCCAGGAGGAAGCTGAATACAGAAGTGACCAGAATACAACAAAACTTATGAAAGCTAGGTTTTCACTGGATTTAGAATTCCTTGAGGATAGTATCTCTTGTTTTTGTATCTGTAGGGCATAAAATATGATTGGCTCCTGTCTTCCTTTTCAATCTTATCTTACCCACTTATTCAATTACACTGGTCTCCTTTCCATTTCTGGAATAAGACCTCTTTTGCCTCAAGACTTTTGCAATTGCTGTTCCTTTTGACCCAAATATTCATCAAGCAATACTAATAGCTGGCTCCTTCTTATCCTTTGCAACTTACTAAAATGTATTGTCCTCAGAGGGGCGTTTTCTGACTACTTTATCTAAAATAGATGCTCTCTTCCCCCTCCCCAGCTACTCCCTATCACCTCACCGTTTATTTCTTTTAAGGCATTGGTCACAATCCACAATAATGTTGTTTATTCTTTATTTTCTAACTTCCTAACCATAAAAATAAGTCCAGGGAGGCCAGGTACTAAGAGTTTCATTTGGGTCGAAACCGGTTTGGCTCAGTGGTAGATCGTCGATCTGTGGACTGAAAGGTCCTGGGTTCGATTCCGGTCAAGGGCATGTATTATACATTGGTTGCGGGCACATCTCTGGTAGGGGGTGTGCAAGAGGCAGCTGGTTGATGTTACTCTCTCATCGACGTTTCTAGCTCTCTATCTCTCTCCTTTCCTCTCTGTAAAAAGATCAATAAAATATATTTAAAAAAAAGTTTCATGGGGGGGGGGGAAGGGCAATGGTAAGATATATACACAGATAATAATTAAAAAAAAAAAAGTCTTTCATACCCTTCCCCCCCTGCATGACTTCTGCCTTCCTAGTCCAGTAACAGACACATAGTAGTAGGACTTCAATGTTTATTTGTTGAATAAATGGATAAAAAAATCATGACCATATAAAGAGATCTTGAGAGGTAGAGTAGGAACTGAGAGGGCCTTGAAAGACAAGCAAAAGAAGGTACACTTGATGGGAACACAGGAAGCTAGTAGAAGTTCTTGAATGAAAAAAATGATTTAGGGGGTTAACTTGGTATGCCACAATCTGCCATAAATCCTTAATTTAAATAATTCACTGCAGTGTCTTGCAATGAATCACTACAAGAGGTATTTGGAATCTAGGACCTGAGCTGTATTTTTCTCCCTGTGTTTAATTAATTGATAATGGTGAACTATAAAGTGATCATAGTGAAGACCCTGTAAGGTGGAATCCACATCTATTTACTGCAGCGAGGCCTGCAGGAGAGAAGTTATTTGTTCAGTAACTGAGTGAAACAATCATGCACTTAGAAAGTTAGATAGGATTTGCTACTAGCCATCTGCATGACCCTTAAGAAGATCCTTAACCTGGCTAAGGTCAGTTTATCTGTAAAGAAAAAGAAGACTTAGCGCAGGCATTTAAATGAAAGCTTATGAGAAAATCTGTGGCAGAGTAAATTCATTTCCTTCTGTTACTCTGGAGATGCTGAACCTGCCCTGACAGGGATTTCCTACTGGCCTTTTCTCAACAGTCTTGTGGCTTGAAAATAGAGCATATGGTGATATTTACTTTTTGCTATTTTCAGTTTTTCCAGTGTAAAGCTGGAATTGTGACTCTGCAACTTAACTAGCTGAGTGACCTTGGGCACCCCAGTTTCTTTATCTATAAAATAGATATAATAATAGTACCTGCCTCATAGGAATATTGTAAGTATTACATGTGATGGTACACTAAGTGTCTGTACTAGTGCCTGGTACATAGTAGGTTCTCAAATGTTAGCTATAATCCTTTAGGATTTTATTTTACTCTCCTTAATGCGGGCAACTTTTCTCCTCTCCCTTCTGTAGGTATTCTCAGTGCCTTCAATCTCTTCTGGAGAGAACGCTGACTCTGAAGGGCAATTTGGAAGAAATGGATTCAGAAGCTTCTTCCAGACATCCAAACCAAGAGCCTTAAAGTAAGAATAGAATAGTAGGAGCATTATGACACCGAAGAGGGAGACTTTTTTTGTATCAGTGGCATAGGAGAGGACAGGAAAGAAAAAACTGTTCAGGACTCAGGCGCACCCATTTTCTAGTGATTTTGGGAGAACAAGCAATATTGGCGTGGGAGCCTCAAAGACTGCTTTCAGGAACTTTCATTAGCTTAATCTATTGTGCTTTTTATTAGCATTTTCCTAGAAAGTGAAGTCAAGGAAAACATTCCTGGGGTGGGGCTGGACTAGTTACCATAAGGTTATAGTTTTGCATATCATTTTATCTCCAGCACCTAGCATGGTGCCTAGCATACCAGGGACTCAAAACGTGTTTGCAGAATTCTTTTCAAACTTTAGTTGTCTTTCCCAAGGAAACTTGTGCCCACAAGCAGCCGCACGCAGGTCCGAGCCTAGAAATAACATTTATTCTAAAGACCACTGCGCAGTGATTCTTGGGAAGCAGTTCCCCTCCCTTATTCGCTCGCTTCTCCCCTTAACTCGCCTTTGAAAGAACTGGCTCGCCACGTGATTCCCTCCTTTCTCCCTTCTCTGAAAGCCTGGCTGATAAAGGGCAGGAGTGCAGGCCAACCATAACACTTTATTTCCTCTCCTAGCCAATAGTGAGGAGCTCTAAGTATATGGCTCAGGTTTTTTTACTTTCTCCGCCCACTTTGGGCCCGCCCCCCACTCCCATTGGACACTTGACAACTCTCCCGGCCAATGAGAAGTTCCTACTCTACATGGGAGGGATGGACTGACTAGATAACAGACGTCCTGCCCTGGCCAATGGCATATCAGAAGCGAGGGAGGAGTGGAGGACGCGGCCAATGGCGCGGTGCCAATAACGAGCATCAGTGGAAGGGCGGGACGAAACAGTTCGCGGGAGGGAGGGGAAGGCCCAGGGAACCAAGCAGCGCTGCCGCCACCGCCGCCGCCGCAACCGGAGTTGGAGGAGGGAGAAGCCAGGAAGAAAATGGCGGCCGTGGCTGCAGAGGCGGCGGCGACTGCAGCGTCCCCCGGGGAGGGGGGCGCCGGCGAGGCCGAGCCGGAGATGGAGCCCATCCCCGGCAGCGAGGCCGGCACTGACACGCTCCCGGTCACGGCCACCGAAGCATCTGTGCCGGACGGCGAGGCCGACGGACAGCCGTCCGCTCCTCAGGCCGGCGAGCCGCCGCTCTCGCCGCCGCGAGAGCTCGCCGCCCGCAGCCCCGAGGCGGCGGGGCCGAAGCCGGAGGCTGAGGAGAAGCTGCCCGCCCAGGTGGCTGAGGAGGCGGCGGCGGCAGCTGCCGCGCCTCAGGAAGGGCCCGACCTCCCCGCTTCCCCCGCGCCAGCGCCCGAGCAGCCCCCGGCTCCCGAGGAGCGCCCGGAGCCGCCGCCGCCGCCCCAGCCCGCAGCCCCGGCGCTGCTGCCGCCGGCGGGCGGGGACTCCGCGGTGTCGCAACTCATCCCCGGCTCGGAGGTGCGGGTCACGCTGGACCACATCATCGAGGACGCGCTCGTCGTGTCGTTCCGCCTCGGGGAGAAGCTCTTCTCCGGGGTCCTCATGGACCTGTCCAAAAGGTACCGCGCCCATCCCCAGCACGCCCCCGGGGCGCCGGGGCTGCTCGCTCCCCCGGAGGGAGGGAGGGAGCCGGGGCGGCCCCGTCACCCCTGCCCGCCCGCGCCCCGTGCCCGCACCGCCCTCGGTTCCCGCGTGGTTCGCGCGGCCCGGAGAGGGCGGTCCCCGCCCCAGGTGAGCGCCCGCGGGGCAGGTGTGCGGCCCGGAGGGGGCGAGGGGCCAGATGGGGCTGCAGATCTACTTCCCCCGCTCCCCCCCCCACCCCCCCCAGGCTGCATTCGCGCGGCTCAGCCACTCCAGGGCGGGGGGCTTCGTTCCTGCAAAACGCAAAGGGTTTTTGCAGAGAACCGGGTGCCTGGCCGCGGGGATGGCTTGTGAGCCACTTGTGTTCTCAAATCAAACTGGAACTTCAGTAAGGGTGGAGACAGGGATGTGCGCATTGGGGTTCCCAGAAGGTTACCCGTCTCTCCCCGCAGGGGCAGAGCATGGGTTTAAAGCGAGCCCTCTGACCGTTATTCTTACAGTTAGAACCGATTCCCCTAAGATAATTGTTCAACGGGAAACACATTTGGCTAATGATGATGATAGCGCTAAGGAAAGTCTAACGAAGAGAATGGAATTTTTAAAAACCGTGACTATCAAGGTGGTGTGGTGTGTGTTCGCATACCGACTTCTAATGCTGTGTAGATATATAGTATCAAATAAGTTCACGCACAAGTCTGTCTTAGCCAGTACATTTTCGTCTTTTGACTTTAAATATTGCTTTAAATAGGTAAGGAAGGCCGAAACCGGTTTGGCTCATGGATAGAGCGTCGGCTTGCGGACTAAAGGGTCCCAGGTTCGATTCCTGTCAAGGGCATGTATATGGGTTGCGGGCACTTCCCCAGTGCGGGGTGTGCAGGAGGCAGCCGGTCGATGTTCTCTCTCATTGATGTTTCTGACTCTATCCCTCTCCCTTCCTCTCTGTGAAAAATCAATAAAAAAATATTTAAAAAAATGTTTTAAATAGGTAAGGAAGATAGTCTGTAGAGTTGAGGTAACCTTTTCACTCTTTTCACTCTTCTTTTGCAGATATGAAGTGCAGACTCCCATTCCCGGCTCTCCATTCTGTTTTCCTGCAACAGCACACACACTGATTGGTATCTCACCTGTTTGGAATTGGCTTATTTTAGTATGTTTTAATTTTAACTCCTTGCCCCCCTCCCATTAAGGTGCAAGAGTCCTTTCCCATTTGGGGGGCAAAATCTATTCAAAATACATTTCAAAGTATGATATTTGGGGCAAAAAAAATGGGAAACCTTTACAGTTATTTTTACGAAAAATTGGGAGTCTTTACAATTATTTCTGCACGTTTTTTAATCCCAAGTTTTTGTTTTCTTTTTTCTTTTGTAATTTTGACTTTAGAACTTTTGCCCTTTGGTTTTCATAGTTAGGAAACAAAATAAGACTAGTGTGCTTTCTACTGATGTATTTAATAACGAAAGAGACTCAGCTGTGTGTATGCTATTGAATCAAACAGAAGTGAAGGCCGGTGATTGTGTGAGAATCTGGATTTCAAATCTGCAAAAGGAAGGTGTGAAAAGGTAAGTTTCTAGAAATGGAATGGATAGTGTTTTCCTTTTTTGAGGTGCTCATTTTATTGTTTTACTTTTAAAAATTTATTTGGTAGAGAATTGCAATTTTTTGGATTTTGGTATAATTTGCTAATTAGTACTTTAAAAAAATTCATTTAGAGGTGATTATTTTATTTTTTCAATTATATTTTATTTTTTACAGAGAGGAAGAGAGAGGGATAGAGAGTCAGAAACATCATGAGAGAGAAACATCAATCAGCTGCCTCCTGCACACTCCGCACTTGGCAACCAAGGTACATGCTCCTGACCGGAATCAAACCTGCACCGGTGAGTCTGCAGGCAGACAATCTGTCCACTGAGCCAAACAGGTTAGGGCTAATTACTACTTTTTTCTTTTTTTTAATATATTTTATTGACTTTGTACAGAGAGGAAGGGAGAGAGATAGAGAGTTAGAAACATCGATGAGAGTCATCGATCAGCTGCCTCTTGCACACCCCCCACTGGGGATATGCCCACAACCAAGGTACATGCCCTTGACCGGAATCGAACCCGGGACCCTTCAGTCCCCAAGCTGACGCTCTATCCATTGAGCCAAACCGGTTTCGGCTAATTAGTACTTCTTTAAGCAGCAGTTTCTTTTGTTGGGGAAGCTGTTTTTATTTATTTATTTATTTTTAAAAATACATTTTATTGATTTTTTTTTTTTTTTTTAACAGAGAGGACGGAGAGTTATAGGGATAGAGAGTTAGAAATATCAACGAGAAATAACGATTCAGCTGCCTCCTACACACTCCCTACTGGGGATGTGCATGCAACCAAGGTTCATGCCCTGACCTGAATCGAACCTGGGACCCTTCAGTCCGAAGGCTGACCTCTATCCACTGAGCCAAACCGGCTAGGGCGAAGCTGTTTTTATTAACCTTTTACATTTTAGTGTTTTGAAGTGAAAATGTAAAAGGATAATCTTATGTATATTTTATTTTATTTTTTAATATATTTTATTGATTATTTACAGAGAGGAAAGGAGAGAGATAGAGAGCTTAGAAACGTCGATGAGAGAGTATCATCGATCAGCTGCCTCTTGCATACCCCCTACTGGGGATGTGCCCACAAACAAGGTACATGCCCTTGACCGGAATCTAACCCAGGACCTTTCAGTCAGCAGACTGATGCTCTACCGCCGAGCCAAACCAGTTTCGGCTTAATGTATATTTTAAAAGCCATTAAAGGAAACCAATTTTTGATTAAACATTATTTATTGAGCACATCTGTGTGTAAGACACCCTCCCAGGTATTCCTCTGTTGCACTTCACAGGTGTTGTGGTTTTTACCAACTGAGGGCAAAACCTTTCACCAGCCACACCAGCCAAGGGGATTGAGTTCTTTCACAGGCACTTGCAGGATGATCCAGGAGATACCCTTTATAGACTACCAAGACCATGACCTTAGTAATCAGTTGCTTTAAAAATAGTTCGTGTCCTTTTTGAATTGGCCATTGAATTAAACCTTTAGGTATAAATAAGAGTTTCCTATTTAATCAGGCATTGTACTACATGCTTTATTTAATCTTTAGAATTCATTCATCTAGGAGAAAATTGAGGTTCATTTAATTTTACTAGTCATTTAGCTTATAAATGGTAGAGAAAGGATTCAAGTGTAGGTCGATCTGGATCTAAACAGCCTACTTCCATGTTAAAGTTAGTTGGGCTGGCAAAATTTCTTTTAAGTAATAAGTAAAGAATTGTATATTTCTGAAATTTAGTACTTGATTTCAGTAGAAGTATGGGTAATCCATAGACTATGGTTGTTACAGCCGAGTATAGATTTTAATTTTTAAAAAATATGTTTTTGTTGACTTCAGTGAGGAAGGGAGAGGAAGAGAGAGAGAATCACTGATCGGGAATCAAACTATGACCTCTTGGTTCATAACGGGTCTATGCTCAACCACTGAACCACGCCGGCCGGACCAAGCAGATGCTTTAGTCGACTAATCGCCATGGAGTCTTCTTCCTAGAGATGCCCCGTTGAAGTTTTGGTTCTTGCCTGTACAGTGAGGTCTACTGAGTGCTTTTGTGTACTTTTCTGAGGTCTGAAAAAAGGGCCAATTATTACTTTTACTAATGATTTTATTCTAATATGCATGGTACAGAGATGTCTTAAAGGTTGGAAGAGTTGTTTGAAAGTGAACGTAGAGTACAGAATTTCACATACACATGGATTTAAAAAAAAAAAAAAATATATATATATATTATTGATATTTTACAGAGAGGAAGGGAGAGGGATAGAGAGCTAGAAACATTGATGAGAGAGAAACATCGACCAGCTGCCTCCTGCACACCCCTTACCGGGGATGTGCCTGCAACCAAGGCACATGCCCCTGACCAGAATCGAACCCGGGACTTCCAATCCGCAGGCCGACGCTCTATCCACTGAGCCAAACCGGTTTCGGCGATGGATTGATTTTTGTTAACCATTTGACATTCTTCACTTTTCTGTATACATTATTTTTTGGTCTTATTTTTAGAGTGAGTTGATTGAAGAACACCTCTTTGGGGAGAATCTCTTTATGGAAAAGTGAGCAGAACACATGTAATTAAGCGGAAAGGAAAGGAAGTGGTACTAAATAATAGCTCAGTCTGGACAGTGTCCGGCTTCTTGGGTTCTAGTATTGGCCTCTGGTAATTAACACTGACTTAGGGCAAACCTGTGAGCTCCAGCCTCCAGTTCTTCTGAGGCTAAATCATTTTGACTTTCAGCAGTTCTCTTAAGCACAATCAAGCAAGCAAGCATACTATTCCTCAGTTTATATACATGTGTGAAGTGAATGGAGTGACCAGTTGGTCTGGTTTTCCTGTCTCATCCTGGATTGATTGTTACTTCTTCCTTCTTTCGTTCTTTAGTGGTAGGTTGCTTTAGTCAATAAGTGACCCTAAAATTAAGGGTATTTGTTATTTATTGGTTGATTGATTTTTTTTACAGAGAGGAAGGAAGAGGGATAGAGAGCTAGAAACATCGATCAGCTGCCTCCTGCACACCCCTACTGGGAATATGCCTGCAACCAAGGCTCTTGACTGGAATCGAACCTGGGACCCTTGAATCCTTAGGCCAGACGCTCTATCCACTGAGCCAAACTGGTCAGGGCAAAGTAAGGGTGTTTGAATATCTGGTTAGAACAGATTTTATGTATCATAGTATTTATTTGAAACTTTATAAGTGCCTTTATGGTGAGCCATGCATTCTCTAGTTTACTCTGGGCTCCTTCACTATTTTATACCCAGCCTTCTTAGGTAGATTAAATTACTTGATTACTTCTGAATTTGTTATCAATGTCTAATGACAGTAGTGTAATACTAGCAGATAAAAATAATCAGCTAACCACACTTTTAATTTGGTTTTCCTATTTCCTTTTCTTCCTTAACATTATACTTAAAAAAAATTTTTCCCCCAGGACATACTTTATGCTTTTGAAATTTTGACAGGTACATTTTGTTCATTTAGCATTCTAAAATAAGCATTCCTTCAAGTTACTAAGCTATCTTAATGATTATTTTAGGATAGAGGAATAAATTAGTGATTGTACCATCATTTAAAATTTTTTATGAATGTATTACCCTTGCTTTGATATTTTTCAACCATTAGCTAAATTTGTGTCATCATCATATGTCCATCTCCTCTGGGTTATTTTGAAGAAATCCTAATCATACCACTTTACTATAAATATTTTAGTATAGATCTCCAAAAAGATAAGGACTTTAAAAACTGAAATTGTATTGCTATTACCACACCTAAAATAACAGCAATTCCTTTGTATCATATCCAGTTAGGGTTAAATTTCACAGACCAGTTTTAAAATTAACATATCAGTCAACATCTGTTTTGTTTACATCAGGATCTAAGTAACAATTATACATTGCAATTGGTTGGTAAATTTCATAAGATTTCTGCAGTTCTGTCACTACTCTTATTCGCTTTAGTTTTTTTTGGTAAATCATAGTTTGGTAGAATTTTTCACATTCTGCATTTTCTTTCTGATGCACTTCCATAATGTTTTAAAATATTTCTTTTCCCTCAGGAGCGAACTGAAGGGACAACAACCATAGTCCTGGGAGGGTCACTTTTGAAACCCTTGTTTTGAGTCATTAGAAATGGTGTGGAAGTCTCTTGTCTACTGGCAAACTTTTAGACTATCCCTTAAATTACACCTCCAACTGTAGTAATTACAAACAGAAAAATGTAACCAGTCAAGATCATCTACAAAGGCAAGAGTTTTCTCAGCCTTTTCAACAGGGACAGTATTTTCCTGGCACCTATAGTTTCTGTCTATGCAGAGCGATCATTAAAACTGTTTAGTACTGTTTTCCATATCTTTTTTTTTTTAAATATATATTTTATTGATTTTTTACAGAGAGGAAGGGAGAGAGAGAGATGTGCCCGCAACCAAGGTACATGCCCTTGACCAGAATCCAACCTGGGACCGTTCAGTCCGCAGACTGACACTCTACTGCTGAGCCAAACCTGTTTCGGCTGTTTTCCATATCTTAATAAGTAATTATAAAATATATAAAATCCTGAAAAACCTTTCTGAGTTCCATTTTTTGGACCTGATATAAAATAAGGGATCATGAAATAAATGCTAATGCTTAAAAGTCCTTGTGCATTTTAATTTTGTGATACATGTTTATTAAAGGTTATAGTTCAGAATTGGAAGATTACAACATTTTACAGATGTTGACTTTCTGTGTGTATATATGGGATTTTGTTGCATAAAAAAAGAATTGAGGTACTTTCTTTAGAAAACTTCAGGTTTCTCTAAGTTCTTAAAGCGTAAAGCGATTTGTAGAAAATTAACTTGTTATTTAAGAAAATATAAACCAAGACAATGATTTTTTTTCGTTACAGAGACCATGAAACCTATGGTGCAATAGCCCTACCTTTGGTGGGAAAAATTCTGGTGAAGCAGTGAGTAGTAGTATCAGTAGCTTACGCTAAGCATCCAGGTTGAGAATTTAGGCCCTCAAGTAGTATGCTTGAATGATTATGTTGAGTTGTACATATTTGAAACACTTAAATATTTGTTGGTGATCATTCTGCTCATATCTCGAGGTTGAGAAAGGCCTCACATAGTAAAATAGCATGGAGGAAAGTGCTGATCACTCTGGCCCAGACACTGTAGGGACACTAGTACCATGCTAGTATATATATATGTACTGTATTGAGAGTGTTGGACTGAAATGATTTTTTGGAAGTGATTAGTTGTTGGACATTAAAAACCTAGTTTGAATCTGAGTGTAAAGAATCCTGTAATATTGTGGCATTAAATTGTATAACTAAATTTTATAAAGTGGATAACTAGATGTGTTACACCAACTGTGTCAGGCATGTTTTATTGGACTTAGGATTTTTAGTGAGGTTAATTTTCAACCTTTTTGTGTGCAAATAAGACTATACTTCACTGTGTATTGTGCTCTTGATGCAACTAAGCTTAATCTTCCTAAGATTAAACTTTTCTTGTGTGGGTCTTTTTATTTTTATTTTTTTAAAATATATTTTATTGATTTTGTACAGAGAGGAAGGGAGAGAGATAGAGAGTTAGAAACATCGATGAGAGAGAGTCATCGATCAGCTGCCTCTTGCACACCCCCTACTGGGGATCTGCCCACAACCAAGGTACATGCCCTTGACCGGAATCGAACCCGGGATCTTTCAGTCCCCAAGCCGACGCTCTATCCATTGAGCCAAACCGGTCCCGGCGGTGTGTGGGTCTTTTTAAAAGGTGGTTGTAGCATGTGATCATCTTCTCTGTTAAGATATTTTCACATTGATAGAGAATGAATGATGTCCTTAGTGGTTATTTGTGCCTATAAAGTGTATCCTTATTTCTTTATATTTATTCACCCTGTTCTCCTTAAATGCCCAAACTTAGGCACACATTACCAGAAGAACACAGCTTATCCTAGAGACAGATCTTGCAAGAAAGTGAGTGGAGGTTAAGTTACATTCTGGGTGGATTTAATATAGAGTGCTTTTGCTAAACACTTTTGGGTAGTAGGCCTCAAAACAAATACACGTAAGATTTCTGAGCTCTCCTCTCCATCACCTTGCATTTTAAAAAATATATATTTTATTGAATTTTTTTTTTTTTTTTTTTTTTTTTTTTTTTTACAGAGAAGAAGGGAGAGGGATAGAGAGTTAGAAACATCGATGAGAGAAAAACATCTATCAGCTGCCTCCTGCACACCCCCTAATGGGGATGTGCCTGCAACCAAGGTACATGCCCTTGACCGGAATCGAACCTGTGACCCTGGAGTCCGCAGGCCGATGCTCTATTCACTGAGCCAAACCAGTTAGGGCTCACCTTGCATTTTTTAACAAGGTGATTCTCAGATCATATTTGGAGATAATTTTTTTGGGGGGGGGTTTGAGGGATTGTTTTGCCAAAATAGTAGAATGATAAATTTGTTAAACCAGTTTTAAAAGTTACTGGTTAATTTCAAATGGGTGTAATCACAAAAAAGCAATACATTTGGGGATTTTAAAGACTACTTGGGTGGCAGATGTAATCCTTATTACAAAACTGGTAACTAAACTTGCAAATAGTTTCTTAAGTCTGGTTGCCCACTAGAAATTTCAGGAGACCATAATTTTTACCTCTTTACCTTTGGACCAATTTTGTATGGTCACTTTACTGCAGAATAATGTTTTTCAGCTTTTGAAAGCTTGCACCTCTTATAATAATTGAGTACACTTTTCTGCATATTCCCAGCATCTAAGACGGTTGCCAAGCTTTACTTTCTGTAGTTAATAGTAGCTACTATGTATTTCCCACTTTATTTTTTTAGCCTCATGCAAGGTTATGTTTTCATTGATATTTGATTGTGAGAGAGAAACACTGATTGGCTGGCTTCCTCCATGGTTTTGAGGGGATGGAACCTGCAATCTAGGTATGTGCCCTGACCAGGAATCCAACTCAACCCTTTGATGTACCACATGCTCCAGCCAACCGAGCCACCAGGACATTGCTGTATTTCCCACGCTTAAGCAGGCATCGGGCCAAGTACTTTGTATACATTGTTTTGAACTTAAATTCTAATCTCATTTCACAGGTAAAGAAATATTTAAGTAAATTGCCTAAAATAGATGGCAGACATTATGTGTATTGACAGTAATTTTTTTTATTTTTATGATAGACTGCTCTCTAAGGTTTGAAAACAATCTTGTTCTAATACATTTAACTATATTTAATCACTACCATTTTAGCTCATGATTTCGGTGGGGCTGTTACTTTGGTAAGTAGAAATGATAGAGCTCCCTGTTCCTCACTGAGCCAGGGAACAGCTGCTGCTTTGAAGATGTGAATTGCTCTTCAGTTCAGTTTAGTGACCTCTTTGGGCATTTTGCAAATGGGGTTTCTTCTTCATATATGGTCCTGGATCTTAGATTAGGTATCCTTCGTTTTGCCTTGGTTGGCCTGGCCCTGGCAACAGTGGAGTCCCACTTGTTCATGAGAACAGTCAGATTTGGAGCACAAGATCAGAACTAAGTGCTGGGTGATTGAATTGGGAAAGGATTTTACAGACTAAAATACATTAAGTTGCTGGACAACCTGTTTATTGTAAAATAGGAAAAGTGACATAAATTGATTACATTCCATTTTTTAAAAAGTTCATCTCTTGACATACTTAGACTTCTGTGTGATGGTCCCTACTGGACAGAATAACAAAAGAAATATTGAAAGTACATAAAAGTCATAATGGAAACATAGGAAACTTAAAACTGCTTATAATCAAGGGAATTCTGTTCAAGTGTTTTAAAACTGATGAATATTTACATTAATAATTAAAAAGGTCCTTTAGCATTTCTGGGAAAATGTCAAGTATGTTGCTCTAAGTGATGTACAAAATGTGAGTCAAAATGAGTCTGCTTCGAAAAACATTTTGCTATTTTTGTGGCTATTATCATTTTTGTGTGGCTATTTTAAAATGTTATGATTTGAACACCATACAGATGTTGTTATTATTTTTACTTTCAAAAAGACTGAAGCATAAAGTGTTTTCTCTATAGTTTCCTTTAATTATCAAGGTAAGTTTTTAAAGAGGATCATTAGAAGGTACATGATTGGGAGCTTGAAAGCTAAATTATTAGAGTTTAACCTCTTTTCCCCCACCTTCCAAAGCTCCATGTGATTTTATGAGGATTGAATAGACTTTTTAAAAGATTGAGTACATTTTTATGGTTAGAGAGATGTTTTGTAAGAACTTTATGCTGCTATCTTCCCCACCCATTAATTTAAAAAGGTATTACTTGGTATTTTGTTAATTGGTGTATGCTTTGTGTTTATGTTGCTAAAATCATCCTCCTTTCTCACCTTGTAGTGCCTATAGACATTGCAGATTGCCCTTGTAATACCTGGGGCTATAATTAATAAAATCTAATTTTAATTTTACTATAGTATAGTTCTTATATATTGTGCTTACTGTGTATTAGGCCCTGTGGTAAGCTATTATGTATATTCTTTAATTTTGATGACAGTTCTATCAAGTTACTTAATTGCAATTTCAAAATCCTAAAGCTCTGAGAACTGAAATTTTTGTTACTTTTTTGGTGGCAAAACCTATCATGACCGGAAGTTATGTGAGGCTATTAGATCTATTTGTCCCATTTAGTGTGGTTTTTCATTTCACTAGTGAAATATTCATATGCTTGATAATAGGGTGCTTATTATCTTTTGCAAACTAGAAAAAATCATGAATTGTGAAGCCTGTCTACATCCATGGAATTCAGAAAAGAACATGTGGACAGCTGCTCTTCCCCGCCCTTAGTGGGGAAGCGGGGTGGAGGAGAGGATGAGGGGTGGCAGTAGTTAGGAACCTGACGGGGATTGTTGCTTAGATTCATATCCCTGCCCTGCTGCTTACCAGCAGCGTGTCCTTAGGAAGATAACTCACCCTCTATTTAGTTTAACTATAAAATAGGGATAGAAATAGCACTTTAGTAGGGTGGTTGTGATTCTCAGTTAATTTATATGAGTACATATTTAGAATAGTGTATGCCAAACTGATGTATAAGTGTTTAGTTAACTATTATGAAGTGCTTCTAAGTGGTAGAACTAGGATAAATGTGAGAACATCTAATATAGTCACTTAAAATGGGTTGGCTTGAATAGCCAATCAACCTAGATCCTGTTGTATTGTGGGCTGTAGTATAATTTGCATTTTTAAAATATCTTAAAAGAACATATAGAAACTTCAGGTAATACTGGCAAAATATAACTCAAATTAATAAGGAAGGATGATGTTTATATTTTACTAGGGATGAGATAAGTAGGGGTTGCTTGCAAATGGTAGGTGGGAGGTGCTTCTCAGTAGTTCTTCTCACTAACCCCCGGGGCAGATGGCTTTATGAAGAAATTTTGGTCTTTGTCATGAAGAGAAAGTTAAAACTTTATTAGGGAAATTGAGTTCTTACAGTCTTTCTGCTTCCTCCATGCTTTTAAAACTTAATCGAAAATAGCTCCCTTTTGAGAATGACACATTTCAAAATTAGTGAAAGGAAATTTTTTGTGCTCTTTGTACTTATTAAATGATTTGACCAGGGTAGTAGAGTTGAGCTTAAAGTTTTTTTTTTTTAAATATATTTTTATTGATTTCAGAGAGAAAGGGAGATAGAAGAAACATCAATGATGAGAGAGAATCATCGATTGGCTGCCTCCTACTAGGGATCGAGCCCACAACCCAGACATATGCCCTTAACTGGAATCGAACCCGGGATCCTTCAGGCCACAGGCCGATGCACTATCTATTGAGCCAACCAGCTAGGGCTGAGCTTACATTTTTTAAAAGTGATTTAGACACTTTCAATACCTTTACTGACCTTGTCTTGTTGAGATTAGTATTCTTCTTCCATCACAATTACCCAGCCTTATAACACATGCCTCTATTTCTCCCAGATGGATTACCTTTCTTTTTATTGCTTCTTTTATTGCTTCTTTAATCCTGTCTGTCTCCTATGGAGGAGGGAATTTATTTATTATTATTTTTTAAAATATATTTTATTGATTTTTTTACAGAGAGGAGGGAGAGAGATAGAGAGCTAGAAACATCGATGAGAGAGAAACATCGACCAGTTGCCTCTTGCACACCCCCTACCGGGGATGTGCCCGCAACCAAGGTACATGCCCTTGACCAGAATCGAACCCGGGACCTTTCAGTCCGCAGACCGACGCTCTACCACTGAGCCAAACCAGTTTCAGCTAGGAGGGAATTTAATATGCTTAAAATGTTTTGGTGGAACTAAGGTCAATTAAATGTAAGATTATACTTTTTAAAAAAACTCAATTAAAATTTTTCATTTTTAATCATTTCAGATATTATGAACTCCAACTAGATCCACTAATTTTTTATATTTTGCCACATTTGCTTTATCACTCTTTATATAAACATTGTTTCCTTGAACTCTTTGAAATTAGATTACATACATCCTTTTTTAAAATTTATTATTTTTTTGTTAATCCTTACCTGAGGATATTTTTTCCATTGATTTTTTTTTTCTTTTTCTTTTCCCCCCAGAGGTGGAGGGAGGGAGGAAGGAGAGGCAAACAGATAGATAGATAGATAGGCAGGCAGGCAGGCAGGCAGGCAGACAGACAGACAGACAGACAGATAGATAGACATCATGTGAGAGATTGGTTGCCCTGGCACTAGTTCTGGCAGGGGCCATGGTCTAGGATTCAGACCTGCAACTTAGATATGTGCCCTTGATGGAGAACGCAATGAAACTGAGTCCCTTTGGTGTGCAGACTGTGCTCTAACCATTGCTCATACCAGCCAGGGCCATCTTCTTCCTTTACCCCATAATACTTGAGCATTTACTGTATTTCCTAAGATCAAAGATAATCTCATACATAACCACAATATAGTTTTCAAATTCAGGAAGCATTGATAGAGTACTTTTTATCTAAAATAATTAAATTTGCAGCCCATATTTAATTATTTTGTCAAATTTTGCAATGCCCTTTAAAACTTTTCCCCCCTCCTGTAAATGATCATTGCATTTAGTTGCAATATCAAATAGAGCATTTGTAATAGGGACTATTCCTCAATTGAGGTTTTTCTTATATTTGCTCACAAGGGGTTCAGGTTCAGACAGTGTTGTGTTCTCATCTGCAGGCACATGATAGTCTTTTTTCTCATTGGGGATGCTCACTTGGATTCTCCCTCAGGTCAAGGTGTTCCGTCATTCCCCAGTGTAGTTACTATTATCTTTCTTGCACTAACAATTCCTTTACTATGAAAATATACTGCTTCTCACTGAACTTAAAAAGTTTAGTAAATGTTAAGCACATTTACATTGTTGTGAAACAGATCTCCAGAACTTTTTAACTTGCGAAACTAAAACTCTAGCCAATAAACAGCTCCCCATTTCTTCCTCTATCTAGCCCCTGGCAACCATCATTCTACTTTTCTCATTCTATGAATTTAACTACTTTAGATAATTTAAATTGAATTATGTAGTATCTGCCGAAACTGGTTTGGTTCAGTGGATAGAGTGTTAGCCTGCAGACTGAAAGGTGCCAGGTTTAATTTCGGTCAAGGGCATGTACCTGGGGTGTGCAAGAGACAGCTGATCGATAACTCTCATCAATGTTTCTAATTCTATCCCTCTTTCTTCCTCTCTGTAAAAAAATCAATAAAATATATTAATATATATATATATATATATATATATATATATATATATTTAAAAAAATAAATTGAATTATATAGTATCTGTTTTATTGTGACAGATTTATTTCCCTTAGCATAATGTTCTCAAGGTTCATCCATGTATCATGTGACAGGATTTTTAAGGTTGAGTAATATTGCATATTTATATACATACTAGTGGCCTGGTACACAAAATTTGTGATGGAGGGTTCTCCTCAGTCTGGCCTGCATCCTTTCGCAATCTGATACCCCTTCTGGGATGACTCCCGATCGTACAGGAACCTGGCGTAAACCAGCAATCAGACATCCCTCTCACAATCCAATACCGCTGGCTCCTAACTGCTCACCTGCCTGCCTGATTGCCCCTAACCACCTCTGCCTCAGCCCCTGCTGTGGAAGGACATATGAAATGATGTCAGGCTGTCAGGTCTAATTAGTATATTATGCTTTTATTATTATTGATTTGGTTTCTCTGTTCCTTTAGCGAGCACTTAGGTTGTTTCTGCCTTTGGCTATTGTGAATAATGCTGCTATGAACTTGTGCAAATATCTCTTTGAGACCTTTTTTTAATTATTTTGGGTATTTACTCAGGAGTGGATGCCTGGTTTCTATTTTTTAATTTTTTTGAGGTATAGATTTACATTTTTATTTTGAAAATTTTTCTATTGCAAATGGATGTGTATGGAATTTCATTTGTGTGGACGTTAACTTGGGCATAACCAGTCTCAGAGATGAAATGTGAACCAAAATAGCTTGCTTCAGTTTTCCTTCCTTCATGGTTTAACTTGCTAATTTAAGGAATTATCCTTGAAATGAAATAAACCTGGATATTATTTAAGTTAATTGAATATAATTTTTTGTTGTTGTTTACTGTAGATTCTTTAAGGCAGATGTGTCAAACACAAGGCCCGCGGGCCAAATCCGTCCCGCCAGGCCTTGCAATGTGGCCCGCACCACGCTGTCATCACTGCACTCCGCTGCATTTCCATCACAATGACAGTTTATGACTGTTCAGTAAACCATTCGGCCCACGATTTAGGCTGGATTTTAGATTTTGGCCCCTTCTCTGATTGAGTTCGACACCTCTACTTTAAGGGAAAAGAAGTTTGGGAGCGAGTTTTCTTTTTGTCTTCTGTTGATCTTTTATTGGAGAGAGGTTTTGTCTAGCCAGAACACTGAGGCCTGTCTCTGTGACCCTTCTGACCTTTTTTTCCTGAGCATTGAATTCCTCAGGACCTCTGTTTGTGTACCTAAAGTTTGCAGTGCCTTTTTTGTTGTTGCTTTAGAGTGTATAATATTTTAAAAAGAATCCCCTGCAGTTGGAGTGTGGCAACAATCAGAATTAGAATCAAGCATACTATAAAATTATTGGAAACAGGAAGGAAAACAACTCATCTCTAAGTGAGAGATGAGTTACTTGATGTTGCTGTGAAGTTGATGGTTACGAACACTATCAGCATTAAAAAAAGTTACAGAATAAGAGGTAGGAATTATCAATCTGTCTGGCTTTTAAAAAATTGAGTAGTTAACATTTTTAGTTTTCTTTGAGGTATTCCTTTGGAAATGGAGCTTGGATGATGGTTATGAGCTTCACTTCAAGAAGGGATACCTATTTAGGTATAGGATTGACTGGAAATGCTAGAAATCTGACCAAGAACCTTAATTTTGTAAAGTTTCTCAGTGAACAAACACAGGTTTCATTTAGTCAAAGCTAGAATCATCGGTAAAATTCATATGTCAAGTGGAACACAAATAATAGAAAATATCCTTTTACTTCCTATAATAGTCACATCATGAATTCTGGTTTAAATACTCCACATTTACATTTGTTTCACCTTTACATATGGTGAGGATTCTTTTTCACAGTGATTTTTCTCTTCATTTTTTTTAACTTGATCAGAGATCTTTATTCTGATCCCTGTCATTCATTAAGCAACCAACACAAATCATTTTCCTTTTCTCTGCCTCAAGCAGCAGCAGTTGCATTCAGACAGAAATGGAAGACACAGCCATGGAAAACTTTGTAGAGAAAAACAGGTTATTCTGGCTTTAGGTAGAGTTAGAACAGGAAAATATATATGCGACTTTCCAAGGACTCTGTCCTTCAAAGCTGAGGCCTGCAGAGGGCTAGCTGAAAGATGCAGGTAAAGGCTCACAAAAGTGTCCCGCTCAGTATTCAATCCAAAATATCTTCCAGAAAACCAAATTCACTAACAGCTTCTATAGCTTTACCCAGATCTCCCCTCTGGAGGGTTTTCCTCTTCCCTTGTTGAGCACAGCAGTAGGCATCTTTTGCAATAGCCTCCTCAAACAGTTCTGCGGCTCATGCCGGAATGGGGATGGCTTTCTGTCCCAGGTGCCACACCACGCTATGGGGCCACTGCCTCCCCACTGAACCCCGATCCCTCTTCGTGGGGGCGCCCTGCTCACTGCAGCCGCGCCTGCACCTCTGCCCAGCGTGCTGCACAAGGCCCCCCCTCTATAGTGATTTTCTCTTGCCCTGTCTCAGAATAACTGTTAAGCTCAAGTATTTTCCCTCCTCAAAATTTTGGCCCTTTACTGGAATCAAAACCAGGACCATTTGGTCCACAGGCCAACGCTCTATCCACTGAACATACTGGGTAGAGCTCTTTTTTAGTTTTTTTTTTAATTTATTTTTTAGAGGAAGGAAGAGAAATATCTTTTTGTTGTTCCACTTATTTATGCACGCATTGGTACCTCAGATAAGTTGTAATGTTTTATGTAGTTCTACATTAAAATCCAAAATCACCTCTCTGTTCTGGCATTTTGAAAAATTGGTTATTGAGCACAGATCCTCCTATATAATAAAGAGGTAGTATGCAAATTGATCACCATTCCAACACACAAGATGGCTGCCCCCAAAGGGACACAAAATGGCCACCACAAGATGGCCAATAGGGGAGGGCAGTTGTGGGCAATCTGGCCAGCAGGAGAGGGCAATTGGAAGGGACCAGGCCTGCAGGGGTGACCAGGCTGGCAGGAGAGTGCATTAGGGGCAATTGTGCCAGCAGGGGAGCATTTAGGCATCATTCAGGCTGGCAGGAGTGTGCTTGGGGTGATCAGGCTGACAGCAGTTGGGTCAATCAGGCAGGCAGGTGAGCAAGGTTGGGAGCCAGCAGTCCTGGATTGTGAGAGGAGTCCCAGATTGGAGAGGGTGCAGGCTGGGCACTATCCCAGTGCATGAATTTCATGCATCAGGCCTCTAGAATAGGGGTGTCGAACTCAATCAGAGAAGGGGCCAAAATCTAAAATCCAGCCTAAATCGTGGGCCGAATGGTTTACTGAACAGTCATAAACTGTCATTGTGATGGAAACGCAGCGGAGTGCAGTGATGACAGCGCGGTGCGGGCCACATTGCAAGGCCTGGCGGGACGGATTTGGCCCGCGGGCCTTGTGTTTGACACATGTGCTCTAGAATATAAGAAAAAGCTAAATGTTCTAAGTGCCTTGCAGTTAGTAGTCAGGAAGCAAATAGATACCAGCTGTAATGCTAGAATAAAAACCCACTTTTGCAAAGTTTGATGTTTTGAGAAGGGTGTCCTTTGTGGACTCGCCCAAACCCAAACTTGTCCCACCTTTGGTAAAAAAAAAAAGTCTGTCTGCTTCCCTTTGTGGTTTCTAAGTATTTGCTATAAGTTGTTGGTTTGTGGTAGCCAAGCTAATAAAGAGTTTAGGAAGAAAACTATTTACATGTTAGATCCAGATATCCTGGTAATGTTGGCTCATTCTATATCTTTGCCTGGTTTTAGGAATATCTACAGCCTAATTATTAGTTATTTAATGTCAAGAAGTTTTCCCACAAAAGGTATTTTGAACCTTTTGGAGAATCTGAGAACCAAAGACTAGGAAAACAGACAAATATAAAACATTTGCATCTAATGTCAGATTCTGTGTGACTACCTGAAGAAAATTCTTGGGTTCTAAGCATCTCTGCCTTAAAGGATTGGCATTATAATTGATAATTGTATTGTGTTTAATGCTGTTTAACTCAAATAGTGTTTAAAATTAACATGTACATATTTGATAGTGTAGCTATTTCTATGTGCAGGAATCTGTGCATAGCGAACTTAGTTTTAAGCATTTAAAAAAAAAGTAAATTGTTGAGATTATATTTTTAAAAATATATATATTTTATTGATTTTTTACAGAGAGGAAGGGAGAGAGAGAGAGAGAGAGCTTGAAACATCGATGAGAGAGAAACATCGACCAGCTGCCTCCTACACACCCCCTACTGTGGATATGCCTGCAACCAACATACATGTCCTTGACTGGAATCGAACCTGGGACCTTTCAGTCCGCAGACTGACGCTCTACTGCTGAGCCAAACTGGTTTCGGCAAGTTTTAAGCATTCTTGATGTTTAGCCCAGGCAGATTAAGCCACAGTTACTTCTAATTCTACATAAGAAACACGGTTATTGACCCTGCTTTATTAGAAATTGAGAATAGTATAAAGATTTGTGTCCCATGCAATTGCTTTGCAAACTGGGTCTGGACCTGTAAGTTTTGAAATCCATTTGATGCATGTGACTAGCGTGAAAGCAAATTAAAATAGACCACGATAGAAAAAATTATTCTGTATCACATAATACAAGGGTAAGTAGTTAGTGATACTTTTACTTGAATGTGTATATTTATGTATGTATAGTTGGCAATCATTTTATATATAAATAAGCTTTGGGTTATGATGTGAAAATATAGGGTGGGGCAAAAGGAGGTTTACAGTTGTATGGAAAAGACAATATAAGAATAAACTTTGTTTCAATAATTAATAAATAATATAAGAATAAACTTCCCTAGACTCAAAACTATAAGCCTATTTTTGCCCCACTCTGTATTTCTTAATGTGCGATTTGATTTTAAAAAGGTAGGTAGGGATCCACAGTTCTGTATCTGTCTGCTTTCATAATACTAAATTTCTACTATTTTTGTAGGGAAGTGCTGTGATGAAGGGCTTAAGAGTTGGAATATAAGAGCAAAAAAGGGACAACTATTTTTGAACTTTAGTGATTAATAAAGTAGAAATGGGATTTTACAGATTCAATATTTTTTGGGTAGCTAAGGCTGAATTTGTTTTGTGAAGTTTTTGAAAGCTGTCCTAACCAGAGGTAGATGTATATTACAATTTTATAATTGAATTTGCTTGTACATATTACGTATATTTGAGTGAACATAAATCAGATGTTCCATACTAAGATATCTCGTATCCTTTCTGATTCAAGACTGAAAAGGTCTATTCTAAATAAGTTCAACTATTGTGGCATTGGTTAGAAAGACCATTATAAAATGAGGAGGAGGGCTTTGGGATTTTGGGGCAGGAGGTGGTAAGTGGTTTTTTTATTTTTCTTTAATATGAAATAGTTTTCAGGAAAGTTCATGCAATTACTCCATTATTAGGTATTGTTTATTAAATTGTGTTATAGCCATTAATTAAATGGCTTTCTTTTTCTTTCATTTCTTTCAAAGGTTTGGGCCCCACGGGATTCCTGTGACAGTATTTCCCAAAAGGGAATATAAGGATAAACCTGAAGCCATGCAGCTCCAAAGTGATACATTCCAAGAAGGGACAGAAGTCAAGTGTGAAGTGAATGGTGCTGTTCCCAACGACCCTTCTCCTGTCCCGCCACCTGAGCCGAGCCTGGCTGAAAGCCTGTGGACTTCCAAACCACCACCACTCTTCCATGAAGGAGCACCTTACCCTCCCCCTTTGTTTATCAGGGACACATATAACCAATCAATACCTCAGCCGCCGCCTCGGAAAATTAAGCGACCCAAACGGAAAATGTACAGGGAAGAATCTACTTCAATAATGAATGCTATTAAACTACGTCCCAGGCAGGTCCTATGTGACAAATGTAAAAACAGTGTTGTTGCTGAAAAAAAGGAAATTAGAAAAGGTAGTAGTGCAAGTGACTCTTCTAAATATGAAGATAGAAAACGGAGAAATGAAAGCATAACTACTGTGAACAAAAAACTGAAAGCTGACCATAAAGTGGATGGGAAAAACCAAAATGAAAGCCAGAAAAGAAATGCTGTGGTTAAGGTTTCAAATATTGCTCACAGCAGAGGCAGAGTAGTCAAAGTTCCTGCTCAGGCGAATACATCAAAAGCTCAGTTAAGTACTAAAAAAGTGCTCCAGAGTAAGAACATGGATCATGCAAAAGCTCGGGAAGTGTTAAAAATTGCCAAAGAAAAGGCACAAAAGAAGCAAAGTGAAACCTCTGCGTCCAGAAATGCACATTCAAAAGTCCACTTCACTCGTCGCTATCAGAACCCTAGCTCAGGTTCCCTTCCACCCCGGGTTCGTTTAAAACCACAAAGGTACCGGAATGAAGAAAATGACTCTTCTCTGAAGACGGGACTTGAGAAAATGCGGAGTGGCAAGCTGGCACCCAAGCCCCAGTCCCGTTGCACCTCTACCCGCTCAGCAGGTGAGGCCCCTTCAGAAAATCAGAGTCCCTCAAAAGGCCCTGAAGAGGCCAACGGTGAGGTTCAGGACACAAACGAAGTGCTTGTGCCCAGTGAGCAGGAACCACAGACATTGGGCAAAAAGGGCAGCAAAAGCAATATCTCTGTTTACATGACCCTAAATCAAAAGAAATCTGACTCTTCCAGTGCTTCAGTGTGTAGCATTGATAGCACAGATGATTTGAAATCCTCCAACTCTGAGTGTAGTTCTTCTGAAAGCTTTGATTTTCCTCCAGGCAGTATGCATGCACCTTCCACCTCCTCCACATCCTCTTCTTCAAAGGAAGAGAGAAAGCTCAGTAATTCCTTGAAAATGAAAGTCTTTTCCAAAAACGTCTCTAAATGCATCACACCAGATGGCAGGACCATATGTGTAGGGGACATTGTTTGGGCCAAGATATATGGCTTCCCTTGGTGGCCAGCCCGTATTCTTACTATAACTGTGAGCCGGAAAGATAACGGCCTCTTAGTTCGACAGGAGGCCCGTATTTCCTGGTTCGGGTCTCCAACAACATCTTTCCTTGCTCTATCGCAACTGTCCCCTTTTTTAGAAAACTTCCAGTCACGCTTTAATAAGAAGAGAAAGGGCCTGTATCGCAAGGCTATCACAGAGGCAGCTAAGGCTGCCAAGCAGCTGACCCCGGAAGTACGGGCTCTGTTGACACAATTTGAAACGTGAACACGGACAGTAAGGTAGGCAAGAACCATTGAAAGGTACCACAGGTTTTTCTAGTCTAGTTAGGAGGAACTTCTACGAAATAGCCTGGCCAAATTGGAGAGAGAAATGGAACTCGATTGGCTGCTTTTTAAAAAAAATAAAAACTTACCTTATAGCCATTTTTAGTCTGAGAAGCTAAACTGAAGAAATCAAATTTTGTCTTAAGGTTGTGAGATTTTAGTAGTATTTTTCAGTTTTAAAGTCTAAAACCATCCTAAGGCACAGGAGCCATAGCCTCAACTGAAAATGAATTCTTGCAGGGATTATTGCCATTTGTACCTAGTACTGTGTGTATGTGTGCATATATACACAAATATTGGTGTGTATATACATACATACTATATATAATTATAATCTAGCCTGTCACTGTGTGACACACGTTGCATATTTGGGATTGTAGTAAGGGCTGCTGAGCTGGGGGAAGTAGTGTGGATATTGAATGACTACTTGTTTTTAAATTATTGAACACTTAACCTTCCTATGTGCATAATGGTGCAAGAGCTGATATTTAGGTGTTTGACAAACTGAGACGCTTGCTATTCAGTTTCGGACTGGGGAAATAGCTCAGTGTTGGGATTAAGATTGCCAAGGTTGGGTAGGTTTGAATCATCACTCTCTCTCCTTTGTTCAATGAGGATTTAACAGAAAATTTCCAACTTCTGGTTTGGGAGTTCAGCTAGGTTTGTTTATCTTTGGATATGTAAATAGTTGGTTGCTAAATTTGGTCAGATTACTCCTGACTGGCTGTTCCTAAATTCTTAGGATACGTCCTGATGAATTACACTTTGTGAATTAATTGTCATATGTGTAATTATTGCCTTTTGGATGTACCTAATTTGATAACTTAAAAAAAATATTTCCATTTAAGGTATCTGTTTGCAGGTCAGAAAATGAGAAAATGTAATTGTGTAATGCTCTGAAATGTAAAAAAAAAAAAAAGCTGTAAATAAAATGAACTAAATCCAAATTATTTGTGTGTGTTTCTCAAAAAGCTTTGAAAATTTTTAAGATGGTAGAAAATTAATCTTTGTAACTGTGTAGAGGAGGTGAAAAAAATCAAACATTTCTTATTTGCCCTATCAGAGAATATAACATCTGAGCATAGATAATAATCTTTAAATGAAATATTGTAGTATAGAGGTCTAATATGCTTCTAGATTTGAGACCCTTCTGCCATTTTCTTCTAAATGTATGGGTTTTAATTTTTCATTTCTAGCCTTAGTATTTCATCATGTGCTTGATTTTTTTTTTTTTTTTTAAATTGGGTAATTACCACCAGTCTCTTATCCTTGCTCCAGAGTCTCAGGTATCATTGCTTTTGGGGCCGGTAACTTAGCTCATCGGTTTTCTAAATGGTCCATATGGCCCTAAGATTCGATTTGTTTATTTTCCATTTTTAGCTTTGTATTGTTAGTGAAAAATATATTGCCTATGAAGGCAAGTTTATCCCAAGATGATGTTTTCATACTTTTTGGTGTCTAACTTTTAAATTTTGGTATTATGTCAATTTGACACTTTGGGAAACGAAATTTTTAAGGAGCAACTTTTCATGGATTTCTGTTAATCCATTTTGAAATACCTTTGTTACTATGGAATCAATAATGAAAAGATTAATGTTGATTTAAAATCCATAGTTTTCATGTTAGCTTCTTTAAGGTTATGGACTTCTGATTTATGTACTGATTTATGCAAAAGAAAGAATTTCTTCTGGGGAACTGAGTCAATGCTTTTTGATTATAATAAACACACAATTGAAAAGAACAAGATGTTTCACTTGAATAGAACATATTCTTTCCTGCAAACAGAAACAACTATTTATAATTTATTTTTGATAACAGGTTGAAAGAAGTTCACATCGTGATTGAAGGGTTTTAAGGAAGTATCTCAAAAGATTTTCCGAGTATTTGTTTCAGATTAATGAACTTGTTCAGATATTGAAAGTTTGATTATTCAAGGTTCAGATTTAAACAAGGGAGCAAAAAGTCACCTGAAATATGTAATTCCAAGGCTTCAATATAATGATCCCAGGTGAGTTTCTTCTTAACATGGTAGTTTTGACAGTGATATTGCTAATATAGTCAAGTGCTTTGGCACATAGACTTTTGTGGCAAAAACCAAATTTGGTTTTAGAAGCCATAGGGAAAAGAGAAAATGGTACTCAAGTAAATTGGTTGAGTACAAAAAGAATACTCCATTCTTCTGAGGAAAGGCTTGAAGCTAATCACAAATGTGCATGATCTCCAATCATGCCCTTACAAACTGGCAGTCTGGCCATTGCATCTGAAGTTTCAATAGGGAGATGAATTTTAAAGACTTTCTGAACACTAATCCAATAGTTGCATTTTAATGTTCGGTTCAAATAGAAATTTCTTAAGCAGTTAAATTTGTAGATGGAGATAGAGTAGAATTGGGTGATTGCAACCCCTTTTTCTTTTCACTTGTTAAAATGAGACATTTACTTGTAAGGAAGTAACCAAATGGGTAGTTTTTCTCCTTGTAGAGAGAGAGAACTAGGAGCGGGCCAGATCTGCAGTGGTCTTAGTAAAAACGGCTAACCCAGGATAAGAGATGTAAAAGCCAAAGATGAAATTATTTCTAGAAATGCTCCAAAATTTAGTGTCAAGAGTTTTTTTCCTTTTTATTTTTCTAGGATTTATAGGCCAGAAAGCTGACTTCATTTGGAAAGAATATCTATTCAACCTATTTAGAGAATTAGAAACAGATATCTAAATGAAGTAAAGTAGAATTCACTAATCTGAAGTCCATTTTCATGGTTTGATAATGTGTCCTGATGTGGTTTCGATGGGAAAATTTATAAATAGTAATTTTAGATTAGTGCTAAGTAAAATAGACAGGACTATAGATATAAAGAACTACAGACAAAGAATATGGAACTGTTAAATCAAGTATATTTTAGTGGGTGAGTTTCTAATTTAAAAAATACTGAGTTGCCACCTCTCTGAGGTTGTACTTCATATTGGTTTTGTGGAAGGAAAGATACACATTTACATTATACATCCTTTATATAGGATAACTGAATTGAGATTTGGAAATACTTTAAGAAATCTTTAATTTGGATCTAAAATTAGCTTTTTAAATTGTGATTTTTTTCTATCATTCTGCATTAGTTCACTTTTGTTAAATGGTCATAGCAGAGACTGGCAAATGTCTAGAAAAGTTAATATTTTGATTCAGAATGTTGTTTTGATTGGGCCAGATGTAGGACAGTGAAGACTTTTTTTTTTTTTTTTTTTTTTTTTTTTTGGCGTGGGAAATTCAGGGTTTGCTTTGGGATTGTATTAATATGGTTGCTATTGAAATGCCTGATAGGGAATTCAGAAATAGAACAAGAGGCTGGTGTCATCCATGCTTTGCTAGGAGAAAATAAAACTGCTAAGCTGCCCTGGCTGCTTTGGCTCAGTGGTTATAAATCATTGGCCTGTGGACTGAGGGGTTGTGGGTTCGATTTTGCTTAAGGATATTTACTTTGGTTGCAGGCTTGATTTCTGGCCCCGTCAGGACAGGTGCAGGAAGCAACCAATCGATTTGAGAGACACATAGATGTTTCTCTGTCTCTTCCCTTCCCCTCCACTCTGAAAAAAATCACTGGAAAAACAACAAAATCAGCTAAGCTGCATTAATTTTGCCTAGCTCTGACTTAAGTTAATAGGCTCTTCATATTCTTTATCTATAGTCTGTGTGCAATTACCGTATTTCTTCAACAAAGTGAATAAAGAAAATGAAAGCTTTAGCAATTAATATGCCATTTAATTTTATTTTTATTTTTTTTTGTATTTAAACTATTACATATAATAGTACATATGTCTCTTTTTTTTCTTGTTATGCCATTTTAAATGAAAGAATAGTAAGTTTAAAGTTGGACATCTAGGTGGTCAATATATTTTTAGTTTTCTAGGATGTCTTGGTGTCTTTATCATGGATAGTTGACACAGATCAGAAGAGAAACAGTTAAACTCTTTTTAGGTGAATTAGTGGGACTGCATTTATCCATTACTCTTAAGAGTAGGTTTTTAGATTAAAACCATCCTCTCGCACTGACAAAATATTGTTTTTGATACTTAAAAAAAAAGATTTTTATTGATTTCAGAGAGGGGTCGGGGAGAGAAACAGAAACATCGATGTGAGAGACTCATTGATTCGCTGCCTCCTGCATGACCCACATGGGATCCAGCCTGCAACCTACGCATGTGCCCCTACCGGGAATTGAACTATACCTCCTGGTTCATAGGTCGATGCTCAACCACTGAGCCACATTGGCTGGGCTTGGACACCTTTATGAATATGGAAACGATTTGTTAATTACATTAGTTTCCAAACTTAATTTTACATATCATCATAATTGCCTCATTTTCAAATTTGTGCACTTTAAATTTTTTTTTTTTTATGTCAGTAAAACTAATGGAAAACTTACGTGCCTGAAGCAGGTAGAGAATTAGAACACAACTCTAAGATCTTATGTACCACACTTTGGTAGGAAACACTAATTTTTATATTATATCTTTAAGTCCATCTTGGGATGAATTGAATAAAATTTTCATGCATCTAATTAATCTCTGAAAAAACTAATGGCCAAACTTGAATTTTTTTCTTATAGATTCCTATGTTCTGGCACAAATTAAAGATTGGCTTCAGGGAGGTGTAAAGTAAAAGAAGAAACTATAGACTCAAATGGTATCAGGATTTATCAAAATACTGAATTTGTGAGTCAAAATTCTCATTTTCCAACTGAATGAGATGTTTGTAATATATGTTGTCTGACTTATAGGCCTTATTCTGTTGGACACTTAATTATAAAAGTTTTTTTTTTTTTTTTTTTTTTAAAAACTGATGTTGATAACAGGCTAGTTTAAAAATGCCTGGTCTTAAAACTTGGTTTAAACATGAATTAAGTATTTTTTTCAATTTTCTTTGTGTCATAAGAATGAGACAGTTGACCCCCCCCTTTTTTTTTTAA